GGAACTCCGCGACGCGTTGTAAAGTGGCCGATTTGTTATTGTAATATTCTTGTTTGTTATTTGTTTTTTTTTTCGCGGGCTAACAACAATAAAAATGCACTGCACCTACCTTTTCATTATAAAGGAAAACGATGACGCTAATGATGAAGTTTAGTATGACGATGTTGACGAAAATGATGTTGATTCTGGGGATTTCTTCCACACGAACCTAGAAGGCAAGAACCGAAAATACATCAATATCAATGGACTGTATTTTTTAATGATTCAAGTATAGACCAGCCGGCTGCAAAATCCGTCTCGATTGGACCAAATGTTAATGCGCCGAAATTGCGCTCCGATATAGGGGGAGAGAAAAATAGAAATAAAGCCCGATCGTTTCAGTTTCTTGCAATTTAATTATGTGAATTCTTTATTGATATTTAAATCAATAGGTAACCAAATTTACCTTAGTAGTTACACACGAACGTGTATTATTTACAGTGTTGAGCACGAACACTCAACCGATAGCATGCAGGAATCACCAAGACAGACTGAAGTAAGGTGGTAGCTTTAGCGCCAATTCGTTGAAATCTGACATTGACATATCAATGTTGCAATAAGAAGTAGTAAACAGATTTCAACGAATGTACAATACGATAAGTGTTGCAACAAAGTGCACCACGATCCATTTCAAAAAAATGGAGGCAATTCTTACTTAAACAGAATTAATTTTTTTTATTTTTTGTTTTTTCTTTTCAGAGAAACATTGAAAAAAAGTGCAAAGTTTTCTTTGTAGATAAAAGATTTTCATATATAATAAAAAAGATAAAAATCATTTCAATAATAATGCACACACTATTATACTCATGTGTACTATCTGATACACATTAATAAAAACATGATTGCACGAAAATTTATGATATATACGAAAGAAATATTTCAACCTTTTTAAAATCGTCTCACATCTTATATCAAATACTGTGAAATTTCTTCCTATTGAAGCATGTGTGATAAGAAAAACCTCGTAATTTTCTAGCAAAAAAAGAAAAGAAAAATAAAATAAAGGGTTGATAGAAACTGTGATGTTTGTAAAAAATAACTTCAGCAGAAAAGAGCGCCACTTTTCGTAAACACACAAGTCTATTGTACCATTTAAATAAAAAATATTCGAAAATTATATCGCACATTTAACCACAATCAATCGTGGACCTATATAGACAATTCTCTTTCAGGCGGTAAAGTTCGCACAAAGAATTTCTTGTGTAGAATTCTGTTAAGAACGTGGCTAAAATCATCAAAATACCTAATGTCGGAGGCTATATGATATCATGGTCCTATACAGATAACTATCTTTTGAAGGATAAAGTACTCACAAGGAACTCCTTGTGTGGATTTTAAGAGATCCAGAAATCCATTGAAAAATGTGGCTAAGGTCATCAAAATCCGGAATATCGGGGAGTACTTAATCCCCTGAGAGAGAATTGTTTATATAGGGCCACGATATCGTGTAGGCCCCATATAACAGTACCCCCGATATTCGGTTTTTGATGATTTCAGCCAAACTTTTCAATGAAATTGTCTGATGTTCCACACAAGAAGTCCCTTGTGAGTACTTCACCCAGTGAGAGCGACTTTTTATATAAGTCCACGATATCGTATATCCCCCATATAACGGTACCTCACGCTATTCGGTATTTTGATGATTTTACCCACATTTTTCAATGGAATTATCTGAAAATCCACAGAAGGAGTTCCTTGTGGGTACTCTATCCCTTGGAAGAGAATTATCTATATAGGTCCACGATATCGTATAGCCCCCATATTACGGTACCCTCCGATATTCGGTATTTTCATGATTTTAGCCACATTTTCTAATGTAAAGGTCTGAAAATCCACACAAGGAGATCCTTATGAGTACTTTACACCTTGTAAGAGAATTATCTATATAGGTCCACGATACTTTATCCCTTAAAACCCCCCGATATTCGTTACTTTGATGATTTTAGGTTAACGATATCGTATATCCCCGTATAACGGTAAGCACCGATATTCGAATTTACTGCTTTTTTACTTGTTAGCTCTACCCAGATGATAATTAAAAAACCTCCTGCAATGTTTTAGATTTGTTTTAAATTCCTTCAGCTTTGATTGGTAAATATTGTTTATACTCATTTGAGTTGCTATTTTAGGAACCTTGCTGATATTGTTGAGCTTTGTTTAAAAGCTGATGTTGGAACAGTATTTTCTTCTTTTAAATAGCAATATTTCACTTATTCAAAGTCATTAAGTTTATATTTACCCAAGGAGCAATTTGATTCGTAAAGTCTTCAAGTTCTTCTTTTTCAGTTATGCTTGACGTGTGCGGGAGTTTTGCAAAAGCAAGTTATCATTACAATGATTATATTTTTATACCCTCCACCTTGGAAAGGAGGGTATATTATTTTTGTCATTCCGTTTGTAACATCCTTAAATATTCGTCGTAGACCCCATAAAGTATATATATTCATAATCAGTATAAAATTCTAAGTCGATTTAACGATGTCCGTCTGTCTGTCTGTCTGTTGAAATCACGATACAGCCCACATTATTTGACGTAGAGCGCCAAAATTTAGCAGAGCAATTGGTATTGTGTCTAGGATGGTTGGTATTGAAAATGAGATATATCGGTCCACGTTCTGGTATAGTCCCCATATAACGGTACCTCCCGATATTCGTTATTTTGATGATTTATGCCACATTTTTTACGGATTTGTCTGAAAATTGGTATTTGTAGGTCATAATGGTTTCCAGCTCCGGTGGCGAAACATTGCTTGTATGGGTCCATGATTTGGTATAGCCCCCATATAACGGTACCTCCCGATATTCGGTATTTTGATGGTTTTTGCCACATTTTTTCACGGATTTGTCTAAAAATTGGTATTTGTTGGTCATAATGGTTTCCAGCTCCGGTGGCGAAACATTGCATGTATGGGTCCATGATTTGGTATAGCCCCCATATAACGGTACCTCCCGATATTCGGTATTTTGATGGTTTTTGCCACATTTTTTCACTGATTTGTCTAAAAAGTTGGTATTTGTGAGTCATAATGGGTCCTAGTTCGTGTGGCGAAACATTGTATGTATAGTCCACGTTTTGGTATAGTCCCCATACAACGGTACCTCCCAATATTAGGTATTTTGATGATTTTTGACACATTTTTTACGAATTTCCCTGAAAATTTGGTAGTTGTAGATCATAATGGGTCCCAGTTCGTATGGCGAGTCATTGTAATTATAGGTCCACGCTTTGGTATAGCCCCCAAATAACGGTATCTCCCGATATTCGGTAATTTGATGATTTTTGCCACATTTTTTTCACGTGTTTGTCTGATAATTGGTATTTGTAGGTCATAATGGGTTCTAGCTCCGGTGGCTAAACATTGCATGTATGGGTCCATGATTTGGTATAGCACCCATATAACGGTACCTCCCGATATTCGGTATTTTGATGGTTTTTGCCACATTTTTTCACTGATTTGTCTAAAAAGTTGGTATTTGTGAGTCATAATGGGTCCTAGTTCGTGTGGCGAAACATTGTATGTATAGTCCACGTTTTGGTATAGTCCCCATACAACGGTACCTCCCAATATTAGGTATTTTGATGATTTTTGACACATTTTTTACGAATTTCCCTGAAAATTTGGTAGTTGTAGATCATAATGGGTCCCAGTTCGTATGGCGAGTCATTGTAATTATAGGTCCACGCTTTGGTATAGCCCCCATATAAGGGTACCTCCCGATATTTGGTAATGTGATGATTTTTGCCACATTTTTTCACGTATTTGTCTGAAAATTTGTATTTGTAGGTCATAATGGGTTCTAGCTCCGGTGGCTAAACATTGCATGTAGGGGTCCATGATTTGGTATAGCCCCCATATAACGGTATTTCCCGATATTCGGTATTTTTTTCTACCCTAAGGTGGAGGGTATTAAAAGTTTGGCCCGGCCGAACTTAATGTTCTTTTACTTGTTATTCCCTCCACCATGCAAAGGAGGGTATATTAAATTTGTTATTTCGTTTGTAACATCTCTAAATATTCGTCCTAGATACTAGTAAGTAAATATATTCACAATCAGTATAAAATTCTAAGTCGATTTAACGATCTCCGTATATCTGTTGAAATCACCGTAAAGCCATATTATTAGACGGAAGGGTTCAAAAATTAGCAGAACAATTTGTGTAGTGACTAGGATGGTTGGTATTGAAATTGAGATACATCGGTCCGTTTTGGTATAGTCCCCATATAACGGTACCTCTGGATATTCGTTATTTTGATGGTTTTTGGCTGTTTTTTTTTCACGGATTTGTCCAAAAATTAGTATTTGTAGTCGTAATGGGTTCTAGCTCCGGTGGCGAAAAATTGTATGTATAGATCCAGTTTTAGTATAGCCCTCATATAACGTTACATCCCGATATTTTACATTTTGATGATTATTGCCACATATTCCTACGAATTTGTCTAAAAATTGTTTTTTTTTTTTTTTTTTTTGATTGACAGAATCTTTCCAATCTTCCAGACTTTAGGGAGATTTGAATTATTTAATTTTTTATAATTATTTAGAGATATTGTCTAAGACACACGACTTATTATTTAATTTTTGCTAAAATTAGGGGAGCTGTATCCAAAGCTGTGCCTTCTTCATTATTAAAAGAATTATATTTAGCATTGAAATAAATAATGTAATTTAGGAAATCGTCTAAATAGTTACTTATCGAAGACACATTTTTATTCGGTTTTTAATTTTCATTATTAACGACCACGTCATTAACCGATGATTCGCTATCTATCAACTTCCTAGATTTTCCGGACTAAGACCTTGTTTAATATTCCAAAAATTTTTCATCAAACATTTGCTACTTTGTTTTACCTATTCATTTATACATATAGGGTTGTCCGATAAGATACCGTCGAGTTAATATGTTTTCTTATTCAGGTTATGTGTAGTTTTATGTTGAAAAGTATTTATAAGGTAATACTTACTGACAATCTGATTCATAAACTTTGGAACCATCTGAGCAGCTGAAAAACTTCCCCTGTAAAAAAGAGACATTTTGAATTTATCAGACCTTATAATAGAACAACCAAAAAAAGTTACGTTCAAACTCAGTTCAAACTGTTTGATTGCAGATGCTAGTAAATTCTTTTGAAGAATGCTGTTAGTCTTTAAAAGATCGTAAATGGGCAATCATGTTGTAAATGCGTTAAAGAGTGATCTCAAACGACCAAATGTTAATATATTTAATCAAAACAAAGTGTAATTAACAGTTGTTTAACTCATAAATCCCAACAGTTCACATACAACCGCTTTGTATATGAAACGTCAAATTAGTGTAAAAAAGACGAAGAAGACGTATGTATGTAGAATAAATGTACAAGCGATAGTTGACCAAACTATTACAAGTCGAAATTCAGTAAGTCACTTGTGCAATGACGGCGGTTCAGACTTTTAATACCCTCGATCATGAGGATAGGGATTGATTATTGGGTCAACTTCCAAATTTACTGCTGAAATCGATTGGAAGAAACTCTTATATATGCCGTAACTTCGACGGTACCAGTTTTCCTGCATTGCGGTTGACAAAGTATAAAATATCAAATTAAAAAAGAAAGAATTTGGTTGAAAGCACCAAAATATAGCAAAGAAATCTAAATCATCTTCGGTGCATAGACATTTGATTTTGTGACCGTAAATGTTTTTCTAAGAAAAAAAGTTGGGTTTTTGTGGTAGTCGATCAAAAAAAAAAAAAAAATAAATAAATAAATATATATATATATATATATATATATATATATATATATATATATATATATATATATATATATATATATAAAATAAAATAATAATAAGAACAATTATAATAAATAATAATATATGTAATAATTATTATTGTTATAATAATTGTAATAATAATCATAAAATAAATTAAAAATTCTATATTAATAAAGGACAGACTTAACGATCCACCAACGTCCAGACGAAACGACTATAAACGGCTATAATATTGAAATTTTTGATGACGGTCACTCCTGGTCCGAAGGGGTCATATAAGGCTGAGTTTTTCGAAATTCGTAATAGAACGGCGCGAAAAGTATTAAAAGGTACTAAAAATGTTACCCTCTGCATTTTAAGAAGCAGTAGATCCACAACTCTTAAATTTGGAATGTGGGTTACTGAGTGTAAGGGTTTTTGGAAATTCGCACTATAAGTGTACGAAAAGTACTAAAATTGACTACATTTGGTACATTTTCGTATCATGAGAACAATTAGAGTTAAAAACTAAATTTGGAATGGGAATCAAGGTTAAGGAGTATGGTAAGGAGTATGTAAGGAGGTAACTTTGAAAGTGTGTACTCATGTACACGAAAAGTACTAAACGGTACTAAGTTTGACTTTGGAGCAACGGATGGAGACGGAATTCTAACATTTAAAATCAATATTACTGGCGAAGTGTAGGATTAGGATATGTAGGATGTTTTCGAAAGTTGTACTTGTGTGCACAAATAGTACTTAATTTGGTACAATTTGGATTTGGGTGAACCGATAGAGTTGGAATCCTGAAATTTGGAAATAAGATAACCATTGCATTGCAGGTCTGAGAAATGTAGGTAGATTTGGAAATCCGTCCTCATGTGTACTAAATTTGGTACAATTTAAATCTTGTGTGAACCAGTAGAATTGGAATCCTGAAATTTGAAAATAAGATTACTATTGGACTATATGAAAATTAGTACTTAAGTGTATTAAATTTGGTGCAATTTGGATTTGGGCTGGTATCCTGAAAATTGGAAATAAGATTACAGTCAGAGTGTAGGATTGGGATATGTAGGTTGTTTTGGAAATTTGTACTTATATGTACTAAAACGTACTAAATTTGGTACAATTAACTTTAAGTGAATCCTGAAATTGGGAATTAAAATAGCTGTTGATTGGGTTATGTGGGAGGCGTACTTTGTACTTTTCGGTACTATATGGTACTATAATTGGTAAAAATTGGAATTGTGATGAATCGATGGAGCTGGAATTTTAAAATTTGGAATGGGAGTCACTGATGAAGTGCAAGATATGTGTATTCAAAGGTGTTTGTTTCCTACAAAAATTATTAAATAGTAAAAATATTAAATAGTAATCCTATAGCAAAAATTGAACCTATAAAAAACGTGGACTTACATTGCCAATTTGCGACCTTAAGATGAGTGATTACAAAAAATAGAACATATGGGCAGGCAGACGAAATTAGAATTTTTCGCTGATTTTTTTTTTTTTTTTTTTTTTAAGGTAGTCATTTGAAAAAAAATTTAATGGAACACTTTCATAAACCTGAAAACAAAAAACACCTTCTGACAAGAACTCACGGGTTATGATATATAGGATATATTATGACTTCGAGAATATTTATATATAAAATAGGATAACATATTTATGATACAGTATTTTCAAATTAACGAAACAGAAATCCTTTATTAGTTGAAGTTTATTATTTCCTATAACTATATAAGACTATAACAAAGCAAAATTGCATATTTCAGTCCTAAGTATTAAGAATATTTAATGTGGAAATACCTTACATGAATTCAATAAAGAACAATAACAAATTGTTCAATAATAATTGAAAAACCACGAAATAATATTATTAAACATAGATATTAATAACCCATAAAAATTCCTCTTCAACTAAACATACCAACCACCAAACAAAATGACATTACATTTCGAGATACCGAGCAGCCTATCAATGAATGAAAATATTTAGTTTTTAAAAAATATTTTTATTTTTCAATATAATCTTATGAAACTTCAATACACTTAGTCTAATGCTTTTGTAGCAATTCTATCCCTTGATTAAACTGGTTTTTGTCAAGGTCTTCAAAATAGTGGCTTACAACTGTAATTACATCTTTAGTTTAGGTAAAGCGCTTGCCAGAAATGATTTTTTTTAGATTTGGGAACAAATAAAAGTCACTGGGAGCTAAATTAGGAGAAAAATGTTAGTGGTCAACCAATTCGTACTTTAATTCGTTGATTTTAGCCATTGTTAAAACACTCTTGTGCGCTGGTGCGTTGTATGACGAAATATTATTTTTTGTGTTGTTTTTCTCGAATTGCTTGGATTGTTTATTCGTCTCTGGAGTATAGTGGTGGATCCATGTCTCATCAACAGTTATGAAACCACGTTTAAAATCCATTTTATTTCGCTTAAAATTATCCGGACAAGCTTGAGAAACGTCCATTCTTATGCGTTTTTAATCGAGTTTTAACAAATGCGGCACCCATCTTGCGAAAAGCTTTTTCATCTGTAGTTCTTTATGCAAAATTAAATGGACTCGATCAATTGAGATGCCCATTATATTAGCAATTTCACGTACTTTTATTCGTCGGTCGTTATCTCCTAATGTTTCAGTTATTGTAATAACAAATTGTTCTTCATGTAAAATATTTGAATTGTTCGCTCTACCACGTACATTGTGCCATGCTTCGTTGAAAGGCCCCGGAGTTTAGCTATTGTATTGTGTCACGCGATATCATGAAAAGCAAAAATGTTTTTACAGGTATTTTCTCCAAACGACCCGATTTCGATTTCTCTTTTTTTAAAACCATAGAAAGGAAAGTATATTAAATTTGGCTTCCGCTTGTAACACTCTAAATGTTGCACGGAGACCCCATAAAGTACACTGATGCTTACTTAAAAAGAAAAGAAAACAGAAAAATAAAAACGGAACCACATAGAGGACTGTGAATTCGTTTACTAATTAAGTTAAAATTCCAGTTAAAATATTGTTAACCAAAAACCATAAACTAAGATTTCGATTGCTTAGAAACATGAATTGCAGCATTATAATGTTGGGAAATGCAATATTCATCCACTTTTTTTGTCCATTGAATTGTACTGTTCATTTTTGTAGGAACAAAACAGATTTTCGATTTGCGTATTAAAGAAAACGCTGCCCACATCATAATGCTGCCGCCACCGAAATTACGTTTCGACATTCGAACATCGTTTGATCTTAAATCGTGCTTAAATCAGTTCCGTCTAAATAACATTTTTTTCGTCAGAGAAAATTAATTTTTTCCAAATAAACTGTCAGTTCAGGCAAAGCCAGCTTACGTATGGTTGTATGTCTTACAGCTTTGTCGCGTTGAAATCTGTCATATTGGCGCATTTCTGTTTAATTTATCGATTAATTATTTCAAATTTATATTTAGCAACACCGAGCCACGTAAGTCTATGCGAAAGAACCAACCATTCTACGTCACATAATGTGGGCTGTATCTTGATTTCAACAGACAGACGGACAACGTTAAATCGACTATTCGTCGTAAATCCATAAAGTATATATATTCATAATCAGCATAAAATTCTAAGTCGATTTAACGTTGTCCGTCTGTCTGTTGAAATCAAGATACAGCCCACATTATGTGACCTTTCCAAGGTGGAGGGTATAAAAAATTGTTTACTTAAAAAAGAGTCTAATTTTTTTTGGGGCGAAAACAACAAATATATAACTAAAACTGAGAATATTATGTGCGTTAACAGGAATGTGCCCCAGTGTATACACATTCATGATCTAAGTTGATTGAACGTAGTTTCAACAAAGCATAACATTGCGTACGTGATAGAGCGAAACATTTAATAGCGTATACAACAAAGAAGCTGCGAAGCGGGTATCTATTATTAGGTAACAAATCAAAAATTAAGAAACAATATAAGTGAATATAGATATTAATATTAAAAAAAATCGCCTATAACTATATACTAGTAAAATTTACTTGATTTAATTTGAAACCTACTAAAAATAAAAGCTTTTTATGTTAATTCTTATAAATCTGAAAGTTTAATTTGATTTGCGATTCTTTTCAATTCGGTTGCAAAATTGTTAATTTCTCTATAGTTCTCATTTCCGCTGCAAAAAGGTTTCATTTCCCCTGCAAAAAGTTTAATTTCCTTTGCGTAATGTTTCATTTCTTTGTTTGATTTAATTTTAAACAGGACTATGCAAAATATTAGCTTCTCATCACATGCAGTTTGGACTTTAG